TGAAAAAGAAGCTGCTTCAAAAAGCTACCCTAAAATGGCAACAGGAATGGGACTTAAAAAAGTAATACCGGGAGACGTACATATGATTTCTTCCTAAAAGTTACCCTTGAAAGACAAGTGTCAGTCCTACAAATCGCCAATTTTGTCAAGGGTCACGGACCGTTTCCTATTTATTTCTTTCGCTTTGGCATTTCTGAAACTGCAGCCTGCGTCTGAGGAGCAGAAGGCCACTACGTCTATCAATGCCCTCTTACCAAAGCAACTCACCTACGCCAGTGCTTCAGCAATGTGGACACTCACAGACGCTTTATTACACACAATCGTGTGACTGTGCATAAGATATGTCAAACTAATATCATGATTGCAGCCTTGGGACAGGACATCTGCCAGGTCATATAAGATTTTCTCTCGCTCAGCTGTCTCTTTTCCATTCCACTACTTATTATTTTTTTTTTTTTACGTATTTTTTACTTATGTACTTTATATTACATTATTTGTTTATTGTATTACTTTTATGCTTTATGTTCTCTGTTATATTTACATGCATTGAGCAACCGCACCACCATTTAGACTTTCGGCTTGTTATAATAAAATAGCTTGTTCTATAAATAAAATATAGATATTAAGTCTATGTAGAAGTCAACATACAAATATATGTAAAAGTCCAAAGTAATAAAATAAAAATATAAAGTCTATGTAGAAGTCCATATACTTATACGTATGTAGAAGTCCACGTCTTGAAGAGTGTGAAAGAATGTCTATATGTAGAATGTTCATATGTAGAAGTCCATACCTTGTAGAAGTCCATAGTTTAAAAATATTGTTATTTAGATCAGAATTCTCTTGTTCAATCATTTTTATGGAACTTTTAAATTTTCGCAGTTGATGGATAAATAGTTTATAATATTTTGAAGTTTATTGCGAAGGAAGTTGGTTTTCAGTGTTTACCGGAACCAGAGTTGTGCTGATTGTTGTGGTAAATGGCTTGAGGTGGAAATCCTATGTGATTTCGCAGTTAAAGAGGTAGTGATCAAGAGTGCCAATATGCCCGCAGATACATAGGTAATAAAGCAGAGAGTGATTTTCCTCTTATTTTAATTCAAAGTGCAAAATTTTACCAAGCTCGAATATGACTGGAAAACAGTGTAGAACTAACACGGCGCCATGTAATAATTTTAGTTTGAACTTGTATTTTCTTTGTTACCGGTTATGTCTGTTTTCGGAATTGAACTTTCGAAAAATCGACTGGCCGATTTCTTCACCGTTTTCGAAATACTCGCAAAAAAGTGATAGAGAACGCACTTAAGTTTTGCTTTAAGGGCTTTGCAATTTTCAGGAAAATTCTACTCTATTCGAAAGAGTACATGAACAAGGAACCACCTGAAGGTTCTAGTAAGAACCGATAGCGGGAACGCAACAACGGCGACGGGAAACTATGCAAGATGTGTCATTTCAAAGCTAAAACTGTTTAGAAATATTTCTTTATTGTGAAAAGACAATTTTAAATTCCTGGCTTGACATGTACGACTTTTACTGATAGCAGAAATGCAGCAAAGGTAGCGTGAACCTGAGGTGGATGTAAGCGCAACGTTCTAAAATAAATGTTCTAAAAGTGTACTTCGTGGGGTGATTTTTTTTAAAATCTTATGGCGACAGTAACCTTTTTCTTGTTTTGAAGGTCAATAAAGCAAAATTCGATCAAGATTGGAATAAAAGATAGTAGATTTGTATGAATTACACATGCGATCACATTTCTTTACTTATAAAGATACCCGCAGAGCTTTTCTTGAAGAATCAACTTGTAAAGTCATTAGAATTTTTTTTTTTTTTTTTTTCAGTAGGAAAGTTGCCTAAGAATCATCATCCACCATCTTTTAATTCGGGTGCCACTGTAGAGAAATTAAGATTTTTTGCAATAAGAATACATGAAAAATTTGCAATGCCCTCGCTGGGACTCGAACCTGGACCTCTCGATTACGCGCCGAGTGTGTTACCGTAATACCACAAAGGCATGCAGAAAGGAGGGAGAAAAATACCTTATTAGGATTATTTTCATTTAGTTATTTTATGTTTCAATTATTTTTATTTGTTAAATTGGGCGTGGCCTGTTACGACCATGAGACCAACTTGCTTGGTTAGTTGGATTGGGCTGCGTCCCCTTTTGATACCTTATATACTCCACCTTTTAAAGGGCGATTGGGGATTAGGGGACCCAATCGCCAAATCTCCACCACCGTTTTTAGTTCGGGCGCCGCTGTATCATTAAGGCCCGTCTACACGAGTACGCTCGAAACGTAGCTGACGAACGCGCTTTTACGTTACCAGCGTAAAGCGTCCAAACGAGTACGCTGCGAAGAGTGCGTTTACCATAAATTATTTTGCGCAAAATCACGTGACGCTGTAATATCGTCACAGAGCTGTATCTCATTACTTCGCGTGCTTCTGTATGTTTGCGGCAAGTTGTCCGAATCAGATGATTTTTTTTAATAGCTGAAATTTTACTATTAAGTGCAATTATTAAGCAGAGGCAAAACCGCAAAAAATGGCAAGAATGGGTCCGAAAGATTTATTTATGTTCAAAGAGGTTTTAGATTTTTTTTTTTTTACTGCCTCGTTTACGAAAGGAATATCCGGAATTATTAAATTCCTACTATTATCTCACACTCTCCCTATATCTTGTTCAAATTTTCAGTACATAAAATGCTTTTTATTCATCAAGTTCAAATACAATTTTTTAAACTTGTAATGAATGACACTGATGTTAATACAGCTTTTTCACATATTAAAATTTTAAAATTTTTAATTTTAAAAAATTCTGTTTGTATTTTTATTTATTTATTTATTTATTTATTTGTATTTTTTTTTTTTTCTTTGGGACCTAAGTAGGAATTGACTTTTTTTTTTTTTTTTTTTTTTATATTACGTGTTTTTTAATTACTTCAGGATGAGTATCTACCAGTTTGACAGACTTGCAGATTCTATATTGTATGAAAATTAGGATTTATAAAATTGGTTTGGAATACAGTATATAAAGAGAATTAAATTACTTAATTCTCTTTATATACACCATCCACCATATAATAAAACCAACTTCATATTTTTTTAACTCCCCCTCCCTTGGCCTTTTGTTTTCTTTTTATTTATTTTTGAATTAGAAAGAGGTTCAAACTTTGTACAGTTTATGAGAAATTATGTGCATGGTAAAATATGCAATAAAGTAAAAATAAGAGAATTTAGATGATATATGATAAAGAGATGCAGATATATATTATATAGGATTTCTATTTGCAATGTACATTTTTAACTAAATTAAAAACAATATAATAACGATAAAATAAGAAATGAAAAACAATAATAATAGGTAAATAAGAATATAATGATTCATGATTAAATATGAGAAACAAGTTTCAAAATGAGAAAAACTACTGACTTTACGTATTAGCTACGTGTGAGGTTCGAACTCGCAACCTTTCGCTCCGCAAAGCAGCGCGCTGACCACTCAGCTATCTGTGATAGCAGTGTTTGTGAAAAATAATGTAACAAGTAGAAGTCACTGCAAAGGTAATTTAATTAAATTTCAATAAATGATTGCTGTATGACACAAGTTGTAACTTTCCTCCAAAATTTCGTAATTGTATTTTATTGAATACTCTTTCACAGTCAACTGCTTTATTTTAGAAGATGTTATATTGCTGAAGTTAGTTTTTGGTGTATTTAATATTGGGATATTATAGAGTTTTTATTACACATGATATAGCCAATTTTATAATAATTAAGGATAATTTGTAAGGCAAAAACTTGATTTCGTAGAAACTGTAATTTATTTAGTTCCTATTACTTACGGTGTTATAAATAGGTGAAGCATATAGTGGTCGGATCATTGCTTATAATATACAGTTTTTCCCTTTAATGAGAATTTTAAATTTATACCAATATATACGGTTTGAGAAATCTGAAGATGGAGTGATTATTTTATTGCTGTATACACATTTCTAAGCAAAAACTCATCTCTGTGTGGTTCTGACGCCATATTGAAACGGGTAAGCAAGAAGTTTCTGATTATGACACGTGATAAGAACTCGGTCGGCTATTGGACGAACGCGCGCGTCGCGGGCGAAAAGCTGAACAGGAGCGTACTCAGTTTTTACGTCTTCTGCGACATGCGAATTTACGCCGGCGTCAAAAAAGTTGCGTCAACTACGTCGGGAGCGTCCTCGTGTGGACGGGCCTTATTATGCGTTTTTGAAGCAGGAGTACTAGTGATAGGTGACGGAGAACTGATGCACCTGGCGTCTACCAGAGGTAAGCAGGGGCATGCCCCTCGTCCTCCACTATCCAGCGCTTATCGAAGAATCAAAGGAGTTGGGTGAGAAACATGGCCTTACAGGCTGTACAGGCCTTACAGTGGCTAGGTGGCTGTACAGGCCTTACAGGGGCTAGGTGGCTGCAGATTTGGGAACAGGGGCAAGAAAACATATGCAGTGCATGTAAATATAACAAAGAACTTAAAGTATAAAAGTAATACAATAAATAAATATTGCAATATAAAGTACATAAGTAAAAAATACGTAAAAAAACATAAATAAGTAGTGGAATGTAAAAGAGACAGCTCAGCGAGAGAAAGTCTTATATGACCTTTATGTCTTCTTCTGTCTACTTTACTCGAAAAGAATAGTACTATCTCATTAAATGAAGCTTCATCAATCTGCGTAAAACCCGGGCAGTGACGGGTACTACAGCTATAGATAATTCATTCATATGTTACAGATAATATTAAGATAATTCAGATCAAATAAAATTTAAGAATAAAATAATGCTGAAAATTATTAGGGTTTGGTAGAATAGAATTTTTACATTTTGAGATTCAACTCAGTTTCCTTTATTGTTGGATAACATTTTCCCCACTAAATGTTAAAAATTAAAAATGTGATCAGAGATCTACTGGGAAATAGAATGAAAAACGGGGCAATTGCAAGATATGAAATATTGATTTGAAAAACTAGACCAAACAATAAAAATAAAAGAGAAAAAAAATATTCACCACTCTTGACCACAATTACACTGGCAATTATTTCTGGTACACTTATTCCAGCTGCCAAAATAGTAATACCAGCTACAGAATCAGGCAGACCAAACGTGTGACCTTAAAAAAAGAAAAATATGCATAATTCTGTCATAAACATTCCTTAAAATTTAAGTTTTATTTTATTAATTGCATTAAAATGCTAAAGAACCTGATCCCCAAAAGAATCTAACATTCTCTTATAACTTTATGGCAATATTGAATATTTGAATGCATTTGCGTTAAACACGTAGCGGAACACCTTCATTTTAGGTAAAATATAAAAATGATTTGCTTATGGAATAATCAGAAGGTCGTACACACTTTGTGGAAATAGTCTGATAATTAATTTTTATGTAAAAAGGGAGTATTCTAACTGATTATCTTAATTCTTGCCTATAGCACTAGTTCGAAATTTTCATGGAAATAAACTTTCCCTTTGCGCCCTCATGTCAGATTAATTCCACACTTTTTGGGTCATTTTCCAAAGACCGTTCCGTATTTTTTTTATGCCGTTTTTCTAAGGTACGTTTTAATAAACCGAAAGCGCAAAAGCCCATAGGATAAGAGTCAGGTGATTTTATAGGTATTTCATTAAATGGGATACATTTATTCCTGTTTCTGATTATTTTTGTGTTAAATGAGCAGGAGTCAGACGGGCTTTGCCCATACGAAGTCAACTTTAATAGGAATAAAAGTTTCAAAATCTTTAAAAAAAAAAAAAAAAAAAAAAAAAAAGGGATTTTGTGTCTTGTAAGATTGGAATTCCTTCTTGAAAAATCGGTTCTAAAATATTTTGCTTATAACAGAGGAATTAATTTTAGCCTTACTTGAGAATTTTTTTAGTTTTAATTTACCGTTGTAATACAATCCAGCAACTACCGTGAATCCTGTTGGGAACATTTCTGTACATTGATGAAGCCATTTCGTACTATCATTTTTGTTAGCTGAGCACTAGAAAACTGATATTTTATACTTTTGTACGAAGTTAAGGAAGTATAGTAATCGCAAAAAATTTCGGTTATCAGATTTCAATAGACATATCCATTTTGACTGCTTTTTTGGGTGATGTCAGTACATATGGACATAACAAACGACTCTTTATTCCAAAACAAATTGTAAAAGGGATTCAAAATGAAATTTTTCGTCACATTCATACATAAGTACTATGTATGCATCTCGCATAACTCAAAAACGATTAGCAGTAGGAAGTTGAAGTTTTGTATATGGGACTGCTGTAACATCTAGTTGTGCACCTCTTTTATATATATCCCTTATATATATATATACGTATATATGTAAAAAAGAGAGGGATAAAATTTATATATCCCTTAACCGACCTTTATTTTCGCAATCGTTGTTTGTAGACATATATTTTCAGTTACAGAAGTCTTTCAAATGACGATAATATTTAACGTTTTGGCAAACTCAAATTTAAGAAAAAAATTAATTTTGGACAAATAACAAAATTTAACTTTTAGTGAGGTTTCCAGTTCCTATAGCAATATTTGGGAATGTTTTACATACGTAATAAAAAAAATAAAATTATAAGAAACTTGATTTCCGTAAGACAAAATATTTGACATATATTTGATTTCAGAATTTGAAATTTTTGATTTATTTTCAACTTGCCTTGAGAGATCGGTTAATTAAGTTGGATTTCTTATGAATAACTTTACTTACAGTGCAGAAGACGTTCCAAGCTTATGCAGTGGGTCTTCTAGTAGGTGAATTTCTTTTAGGAGCAGAAACTTCCCTTTTTTATATTTGCCCGCGTTCGAACAATCTTGGAATGCAGTTTTGCAGCCTTGTATTCAACTGGACGCTTTTTCTTTTCAAATGTAATATATTTAAAATACATTTCTTTGAAATGCAAAACCTCGGTTTTTTACACCGCTGTTATTGATACGAATATTTTACCTCGAAAAGCGCATTTACGTAACCTTTGAGTCATCCATCAGTTTTGCCATTTCCAAAACAAATCTCTTGTTCTGCATTCCAATCAAAATAAAACAGTAGCAGATGATTACATTGAAAATATCAAGATCTTTATTATCTCAAGATCCTAATGAAAAAATCGAAATAGAAAATCATATCCATAAAGTGCGAACGACCATCCGTATTTATTTATCATGTAAATACTGAAATTATAAGACACAAAAATGAAAGTATAGAATTGAGTTCAGAATACATTCCTAATGCATTCAATTATTTTAATTTCTTGATTGGAATCAAATTTTACATTTCATTTCATAGATTTTTATAACTAACCTCTAAGCAAATAAAAAACAAATAAAATGATTTTTATCCTGAAGCAATTTAAAAGAACAGTTTTATCTTAAACAACGCATTTCAGAAATTTTTAAGAACTTACTGATTATCGTGACCATCCACGAGCACATATATGAAATAACTCCAATCCATATAACAGAAGAGATGAATGTGATCACAAAGTTTCCTTGATTTGCTTTTTTACACGAGGGTATGGTAGCTGTTAGTACCACTAAAGCTGGCCATGTAATTAACCACAAAATGAACTGAAATGTGCTGTCTTGTGGGACGGCCCAGGGCTTCAGGTCATCGTCTGGTTCAGACTCAGACTGAAAAGATAAAGAGAATAATGAATTGGTTGAATATTTTGAACTGAGGAGATTTTCATGATGATGAGGAGATTTTTCAATGTAAAATTAGTTCGTTACTCATCCCATCAGTGGTAGAGTGATTAAGATCGCTGAATACTGAGAGTTCGATCCGGGTTTTTTTTTTCAAGTGAATGGACTGGATGCATGGTAGATTTTCGACAGCTTTCAACGAAACATGTTTCAGCTAGGAACCCTAGAATGCTAGAAGACGGAGAAGCTCATTTTTCTGAAAAGTTTCTTCCAGCCTCAAACGTCGTTAAACGTGATAACTAAATAACACGAATAAGAACTAGTTTCTCTTGGAAAGTCCTCTACGAAAAAAAATCTCTTTCCTCCCTTTTGCTTTTTCGTGGCAGAAAAGTATGTGATTTGAAAATCGTAAATGTTTAAGCCAAATCTGCAAGATGTTTCGAGTCCTTATAAAGAGATGTGTGCCTGAAAAATGCATCAATCTAAATACTAGCACTCTAAAATGCATTTCAAGCTTTTTGTATAAATAGCAAACATTGACTTTTATATCGAGGTGGAAAACACAGAAGAAGTTCTAGACTTTAATTATTTAACTTGCCCCAACGGGTTCAAAAGACGAGAAAAAGCCAACAGTAATCTTATACATATAGTCTTTTACTTGCTATGCTGGACGACTAAATCACCTTTGAATTTCCTGTAGGAGCTATCTGACTTTTATATTCTGGAAGATAAAGTTATAATCCATTTATATTATTTCTTCTTTAGATATACTGCACATTTATGTTATTAATCTAACTCTTTCTATATGTTTCTATACCGCTTAACAATTGCTAAGGAACGGATACAGTTTTCGGAATGATACACATCTATTGAAGAAATGACACTTATTATCTATTTAGTAAAAGTTCTGTGAATATTTATTTATAATGCAAAATCATACATCATCATTTTGTTCAAGGACCATTCTGTACTATTCATTACAGCATGCGTTTACAATTAACGGGTTTCTTTTCCCATGAGAAAAAGCCAAGTTGTTCGATCAACTCCTATTGGGAGGGGGGCTTCCGAACTATCTAACTTGATAACTGGAAAAGGAGGTTCCAAATAGACTTTTGAACTTAATCTCCCAATTTTCGCAAATTATTTCTCTCCCAAGATTTAAGAACGAAATTCTGTTGTTATATTAAATAAAATTCACAAAAGATGATCTAGCTGATATTTCTTCCATACGGAAGGTTCTGGCATTACTCATGCTACTAATTTAAGAAAATCTTATGATGTCACAATACCAGCGAAAAATGCAATCCTGTGCTCTTAGGCAATGACAAAAATCGCAAACTTCCTCGAATGCTACTTGCAGACAAGTGAAATAAGTCACAACATTAACAATTTTCAAAGGCTGCACTAACTTTTGTTTAAGTCTGCTAAATTCATTTTATGCGGAGTCAGCGGCTTCTAGCTGTCGAAAATTAATTTAGCTAGCCATGTAGTGTTTGTTATCTAGATGTCGCTTCGATTTGTTTTTTATTGAATATTTAATTGTACAATTCGTACAGCTGTTAAAATGAAAAAAATAGAATAAGAATTTTTACTAAAATTATTCATTACAGTTATGAGGTTTTTTTTATTGTCTTAATATCTAAGCAGAATTTAGACAATTGAATGGAGGGCACTTTAAAACTGTTCTGCGGGCTCCGCATTGCCGATCGTTTCTCTAAAAGAATAGAGTAATTGGACTAATTTAGAAACCTAAATTTCTCAGCAATCTTCTCCTAGCAGCAGAAAATTATAGTTAATTAACTAGGCCTAAAATGGTTTTAGAATTCAGATGTTAAATTCGATGAAATTGCTCAAAAATTCGTAAAGTAAAATTACTATCATTCCATTTTCGATGATTAAAGAGCAAAAATGAGAAAAAGCCATTAAAGAAATAACTTTATCGTTTCCCAAATTAGCGAAATTAATCAGCATATCTTTCGAAATGTGATACTTATTTCTCCTTTATTATTTTTTTAATGTTCTGAATTACGAGAAACATTTCGGCAAATGGCAGAAAATTTTTTGAAAGATTAAATCACATAATCAGAGTATCGAATCCCAAGTGATTTTTCTGTTCACGATACACACTTCGGATTTGCTTGAATAAAGGAGAAAAAACTTTAATCAATTAAGGCACTAAGCTCAATAAATCAAACTCTCTTTAAGCATTCAAAGAATAAGAATAAGACAGAATGTAAAAATTGCACCCATAAATCAGAAAAAGAAGACTAATTAGTTACTGCTTGTAGCATTAATATTAGTGAGCCCGTAATAATTTTTTTTAATTATAAATTTAATGAAGTAAAAATGCTTTGATTTATATTCTAATAAGGGGAAATTCAACAGGATCGTTTCAATGAAATCTGAAATATATCAGTGTTTCACGTCGTCCAGACGTGTACACCTACAAAAAGAATTCTAGCATACATCTTCTTTTGTTAAGCTTCAAAGCTTCTTTCGATCTATAATACTGCTCAGTTTTACAGATTTAAGTTAATAGTTAGAAAGCTCACCTTTAACAGAAGCCAATTTAACGGTTTTTCCAGGGTAAGGATCTTTAAACTCTTTCAGCTTGAATAGCTGATAAAATATAACTTTCTTGTAGACCCTTTAAAAATTGAAATATTTTTTTGCGCAAAACCTATATATATAAATATGTAAGATAAAAAAATAGGAAGACAAAATATGTAATAATTTTAATTTGCTACTGTCCTTTAACTTTCCATTTAAAATTGAGTATTTCTCTTTTTCAACTTTAAAGTAGTAACCGCTTATAATAAGTCGCTTGAAACTGCGTCATTTCAAAATGAATTCCTGTCATATGATTCTTGCATATGCTCATGACGCAGATACTTTCATAAGATATCAATCAATAATAATTTCAGAAACTAAAAATAAGCAAATCAAAATACAGCAAAAACAAAACTGAATCACTCTGAGCGAAAACGAAACATTAAAATCGGCCATTACTGCAGCTACACCTTTATACATCTTTGTTATCGTTTACAAACTATGCCATCAACATTTGTCTTCATTCAAATTATTCATATATATATATTGTTTTATATATCTTTATTTATATAAACGCGCTTTAACTGCTTTGCGGGGAAGCTATCTTACCGCGCCTGTACATTTCGTAACACTACCCGCTCCCAAGGACTGCACGTCCCGGGCAGTACAACTCTTTGTCAGAAGCCAAATTCGATACAATAAAAACATCAAAAATCTAAAATAATTCGTACACTACTCTGTAGATCATACGCAGAATGCGTATAGTTCACCTCGGTATCTTCAGCAGCTGGTACATGTTCATTTTCCACCGTTTCCTGGGAACCAGTTTCGATGTTTCCACCAGGGTCGCGAATAGAATCCGATACTTTACAAGCAGAAGTATCCGGGTTTAGAATCAAGTCCTTGTCTACAAAATCTGCACTATGAGATGCACACCCAGTTTGCGAAGTGGGTGAATTTTCTTGCAATACTGGAACGCACTGCTTAAGCTGCACTTCAGCTTCTTCCATCTCTGCATCACATGCACTTTCAGATGATTCAACACTTACTGCCTGCGACTTCTAACTTCACTATCAGTTTTGACGAACTTAACAGTCGCATTTTCATTTTCTTCCACTTCAGGCACTTGAGAATCAAAAGCTTCTTTCCTGTCTTTTGTTTCTTCATGTTTTCGCTCTTTTCCTTTAATCCCGTTAGATGTTTCATCCATCATTTCTTGATCTTTCTCAGGCAGTTCATTAGCTGCTTCTTTCATTTCTTCATTCTTTGTTTCTTCAGACGCCACTTCTCTCATTTCCACATCGTCTTTTACAGCTCCAGTTTCTTCTGTAAGCTCCACTTTCATCTGTTGGAGTTGTTCTCGCACCTTTTGTTAGCCGACATTTATTTCTTCTCTTCCAGTCCGGCTTTCATCTCTTTCAATCCGGCTTTGATCTCAGCCCTCATCTCTTCATATTCAGCTTTCATCTCAGCCCTCATCGTATCATATCCGGCTTTCATCTCGGCTAAAAATGTCCATCAAAGTCTTCATCTCCTCCGCCATGGCTTTCCTCTGCAGGCAAGTCACTGGCATTCACTCACAAATCCCACTTCTGACACCAATTGTTGCGTTATTTTCTCACACCACGTTCGTACGGGGTTCGTAGATTTGTAGTGAATAACGACGACACTTGATGAAGTATCGAAACGCACTTTATTTAGCCAATATTAATCAGGACAGCTCCAAAGTCACGTTTTACAGTCGTCGGAGATCTACTATAAACATGCTGGAGCAATCAGCGACACAGCCTTCAGGTTATCAGGCTATAACGGAGGAGATAGCTTCCCTGCAAAGCACCAGAGTACAGCTCCCGACTCTGCTGAGTCGCTCTCGGAACTTCACGTACTCTCGAGACTGTCCACGCTACAACTCGCGATGCACTCGACGACATACAGAGCACAGCTCCCGACTCTTCGGTTCAGTCGTTCCCGGAGCTCAACACGCTCTCTCGACGATGCACTAATGGCGATACACGAAGAGACTCTTTCGATGCACTTGACAACCCACTCGGCGCTAGACTTCGAGATATTATCAACTCGCTAGACGAGGCACACTCGATACTAATTATATCGCACTCTCGAGACACACTCAGTCGCACTTCTAGGCAAGGCACACACACTCGATACTAACTATCTCGCACTCGACGAGGCACTCTCCACTGACTGACTATCAGCTTGCTAGACGAGGCACATACTCCGACTGACTGCAGACCAGCAGGGTTTATATAGCTTTCGGCTTGAGTTCGAGAACATTCTGGGTTAAACCGAGAATTCGTTCCAGAAGGTTCTCCATCCGTCCATGGTATATCGCCAATTTTATCGCCAAATGTGGCAACCCTGCATCCCTCGCTTTTTTGGCAACTCTAAAACTGCTTTGTGAGGAAACTATCTTACCGCGCCTGTACATTTCGTAACACTATGATATACTACATTAAAGAAAGGAAAATAATCGGAAGCATTCAAAGACTGAGCTCAAGGCAGCAACACACAAAGAGAATTTCTTTTTATAATTATGTAATTAATTAGCAGAAATTCCCAAAATCCAATTCCACAAATAAAAATCAAACTAATTTTTTTGAATATGTAATATGTTTAAAGTATAGCAGCAAAATGTGTGTCAGAAAAATCTGTTCATAAAAAATTTAAAAAAAAAGTAAAATAAAAAATCTTAAAAATAATTAATCTTATCTTTACCAATATGCGGACATATAAACCGCATTTCCTCGCTTATTTCTTCTCTAGCATTTTATCTCTTGCTTCTGAAAACTATAAAAATTTTTGCTTTACTTTCCCTTCTTTTATAGTACATAGTTTCCCTTCAGAGGATTAGTTTATTGGTAAATTGTATTCGTTTGATTATTCTTATTTTTATTCAGTATATTCATTTCGTATTCGAATTTTCTACATATTATTTGCCCTCGAATTTATTATTTGAAACGTTTTTTGTGAAGATTCTTCGTTAAGCTATCTGTATATGGCAAGTGTTCTCACACTTAAGAAACTTTCGAAATAGGTGGTTTCAACTTACTTCTGTTATTTACTTTCCAGCTAATTACAATGCTATCTACTGTTGATGTGTTTGATTTTTTCAAAATTCGGGTCTTTTTATGCCCCCTTCTTCTCCCTTCCTCCAATGCCCCTCTTGGGAACTGCATTCAATCTCATTCATGTGAGTTGCCCCATGTGAGTAACTAAGCTAGACACATCGTGCATTTCGAAGTACACGTAATACTCAAAAATTGTTTTGAATTTTGACTTGAACTTGCGGAGACCCTAGAAAAGCTGCTTGGAATCCCAAGGTTCGAAGGAAGATCACTGTTTTAGGGCAAGCGACTGCAATATTTTTTACCTGTGGTTCAACATTTTATTATAAGCTTGACTTTTTATTCAACTTTTTAAAAAATTTTTTCCCAAATGTCAGAAAGTTATGTAAGAATGTTTGCGCAGTGAACAAGCAGTTATAACCTCCATATGTATAAATAATGTGTGTTAATTTCATAAGAAAGCAGAATTCTCCGTTTACTTTACTAGTGACCGAAAGATTAAAAATCTTTACGAAATTTCCTTTCCGTATATTTCCCCAACGAAATAAACGCACCTATCAGTATAAATATAACTATATTAGCATAAATATGACTTGTTATTCATGCACTTACAGAGCTAGTGCTATCACTCCTGTCATCCTTATAATCCGGAAGATTTGAGTGGCTATCAGTAGTATCCAGTGAAGGTGCAGTCGGTGTTGGGAGTAGGAGACGAGGATCTCCTATTCTGCTAGCTTTCAAAGACAAGGATCGGTGCCTGAAGGAGCTGGCTCTGGCACGTCGGCTTTTTTTCCACCATTTATGCAAATCGTCCACCTATAAAAATACAAAAGGAGTTTACACATTTTTGGAACGATCTCGATAAAGAATTTAAAAAAAGCAAATGTTTTGGAATGAAAATTTCTGGCAAAAGTTTACTTTTTGAAACAAGAAATATCGTCTGCTACTTTTGAATTCATTCTTCTTTCAAAATATCGTATGTAAACAATCTGTGGATAAAAGATTGCTTCATCAAGACAAAGCAACATGTCACAGTTCGAAAAGCACCACTGCATTCCTTGAAAAGAAGAAGACTGATACAGGTATGACATATGTACCTTTTCAACTTATTCCTTCGAAATCGCCCCTCCCCCCTGACGTTTAGCCTATCGACTATTGTGCCTCTGGTCTATTGAAGAGAGCTTTTTCTAAGCTCAAACCAACCACGTTTGATGGACTCTCGAAAGTACTGGAAAAGGAATAGAAGTCAATAGCCTGGAAATTTTGAACAAAGCCCTTCTAACATGAAAATGACAATACAGACTTATAGGCCAAAAAGAAAAGGGATATCAGATTGAACATTTAAAAATATACTCTTTACATTTTAAACATTAATTAAATGGAACCGAAATCATTCTAAAAATATGTAAGCACCCTCTATATAGTTTAGGACGTTATTGTTAATATAAAAACCTGATATCATTAAAAAACTTCTGTTTATGTACGCACTAATGTACTGTAACAGCTTTAAATAATATTAAAATCTTGTAGTTTAAATAATTTAAATAGATGAACATTAAGGTATTTGTGAATGGCAATATTTGAAACCAGACTCGAGTGCCTCGTGCGACTCTCGCACGAAGAATGTAATTTATTTTTAAATGTTAGAATCTGTTTTCTTTTTTTGTTTGTATGTCGCCATTTGAGTGTTAAATAAAGTTTTCTTCTGTGTTCCATCATTGGAGTGCTTCATATCGCCAAAGAAGCATCACAGTACACTATTCGAATCACGAATGTCGCTGCCTACGCATCTAACTATCTAACGACGTATCTAAATGCCACATCTAAATTTCTGCAAGCGGTGGTTCAGCTATAATTCTATGATCAAATACTCAATCTAGTTAAAAGGATTTATTAAAATACTAAAATTAATCTAATCTAAAATCTAGAATCGAATCCAATGTTACATCTCAGGAGCAGCGTTCTAGCTGCGTCATAACAAATCGAAAGTCAAGTTCTCACTGTTGCCATTCTGAGGCAGAGAAAAGTTTGTTTCTAATCAAACCGGAACATCGGCATAGTGAAAGTTTCTAGTCAAACCGGAACAACTTCATTAAAATAAAGGTATTACAATAGTCGGGCTTAATATCATCGCGGTAAATGTTACCATTCGGATAGCGTTATAGAATTGCCAAAGTTCGTCCTTTTGTATACGGAAACACGGAAAATATCTTCTTTATTGTCATCAACTATTTGATTAATAAGATCAAAATATTTAGAATAAATTTGAAGTCATGTCTGTCGTAGATTTTCAATAACGTTTTCGATTTTGAGGGGATAAAACACAGGTCCCTATTCTTAAGGAGCACAAAAAAAAATATAAAAAAATAAAATGTCTGCAGAATGAATTCCTCCTCCCCTGAAAAAAAAAAAAAATAAAAAGTCTGCAGAATGAATTCCTCCTCCCCTGAAAAAAAAAAAAAAAAAAAAAAAAAAAAAATGCCCTAAAAACATCTACATCAAATTAAGTTTGCTCTTTTTGCCTAACTTTTAGATTGGAAAGTTCTCATCCAACGAAGGATGCCCTCCAAGTATTAAGGTTAAGGCCGAAACATCAGCTAAATAATTTGCAGCAATGTTATGAATCGTTTATAACTTTTATTGTTTATTACTGCTAAATATTTGCATTTGAGGTATTATAAATCAGTTCGTAAACAAACTTTCGCCTTTTTCTAATCAAAATGCTATGAAAGTACCTAGTTATATGTTTTTAGTCATACTTGAAACGAATTAATTAAAGTGCGTTGCTATTTTGAGGTATACTTTTTTTTTTTTTTTGCTCGTTTAATGTTATCAAAATAGATTTGGAAAATAGGATCATATTTAAAAGGTATTTTCTCCCTACTTTCTGCATGCCTTCGTGCTATAACGGGAGCACACTCGGCGCGTGTTCGAGAGGCCCCGGTTCGAGTCCCGACGAGGGCACTGCCCATTTTTCATGTCTCCTGCTTGAATAATAAAAAAAATAAACCTAATGACTCTACACATTAAGCTTCGCCTACTGTAAATAGTAAATAATTTATGTGCAGTAAGTAACAAATAATTAATAAAATAAAAATTGTAACCTTTCAGTATCTGGCATTATCTACAAAGAATTAAAGTTTTAATTTTCTCTTTGCAACAAAGAGTTATTTCTCTTAATAATAAATATAATATTTCTTTATAACAAAGAGTCTGATCATAACAAAGAGACTTTATAAAAATTTTTATTATTTTTATTCTTTATGACAAAGACACTTCTAAGAAAAAAGAAATTTAATAACATTTCTCCACATTATATAAGCTATTTCTCTTTTTAACAAAGCGACACAGTTTTTCCACATTTTATGCTCTCAATATTAATAAGAACACATTATTGTAAATTTTTGTAAATATTTAAATTGATTTTAGTGCATTATTGTTTTGGGGGTATTTATTTTATGTATTTATTTGAGTAATTTTTACTTTTATGATGATAATTTTAGGGCATATTTCAGTGTAATTAAATTTGCGGCCGTATGTTTTATACGTAAGTGTTTAGTTCTTGTACAGAATTGACGATATTGTGATTCTGAATCCAACAATGCTTAGATAGTAAAAATAGCTCAATTAGAACACGAGATACGGGCAGAAACGCTTCTTCAACATGCACAGAATTTTTGTAGTTAAAATATTGTTTTAACGCAGGAGGATCGATATGATAGAGGAGATAAGAGACATAAGAACCGAAATTTCACTATGTTAAACAAACGTGGGGGGAATATATAACAAATGAGTCATAGTTATATGACTCATATATCAGCGTAATAAGTCTTTAAAACAGATCTATGACTAAGGCAACAATTTCCCCAACCTGGAGAAATTGCACAGACCCTGGAATCATGCATTATTCTAGAAAATAAAGTGAGACATTTGACTTTGCTTTTATGACAGCACATGTCATATGACTATTTAATTAATATATATCATAGATGGCAGGACTCACTCGGAATACCCCATGTGTAATGTCTTCTATGTTAGGAGCCAGTTTCCTTTATAAAGTCCTTCATGAAGGCATCCCTCCCCATAGGCAGGTAGATCTCGTGTGCTCCGCCATAATTAAATAAACCAAACTAAACCAATCATCTTATCACCCTCCCGAGCAATTTTTTTTATGTTACTATGAGGATACGGATATTTTTAACATACAATTAATTAAAATTAATTTAATGTTATATCGATATTCAGAACGGAAGTTATCGGAAGAAAATTTGAACTCATTTTTAATAATTCAAGACTATCAGAGTTTGGATAATCTTTACCTAATAAGGTAAAGTGAAACAACATTTATTTCCTTAAAATATGAAGTAAATGTTTATATTCATATTACTGAGATGAATGAGATTGCTGATTCTTGCATAGCTGTTCTATGTTTGGATGTATGCTGCTAAGTTTAATTCAAATCGTCCCATATATCAAGCCGACTTCAGTACTTTGATTTTATTTGAAGTGGTGTCAAAAATCCTTTCTCATATAGATTAGTATAAGAAAACTGAATTAAAATTTCTAAGGCACCAGTTGTACAAGTCACTATCCCATTTTCTATAATAATGATCTAAGCAGTGCCAGATATGCAATGAAGCAATGGGGAGAAGCAGAAGGACCACAATAATAGTGCTTTAAATCCTTCTTTCGTTGCTAAGACTAGAGTAGGAAATCGATAGATAGGATAACCGGTAATAAATATAAAATGTCGATCTTAGGAGAAAACGTAATAGATGATTGCCATGGATAATTTTTAGAATCTGAGATTTGCAGCTATAATAGGGTATACACAGTTAAATTTGACTTTTGGAGGGTGGAAAGTTTTTTTTTTTTTTTTTTTTTTTTTTTTTTTTTTTTGAAATCTAGGAGCATTTTAAGGACAAGCTTCGAGAACCACGGTTTGAGAAACGTTGCCTTTAAGAAACGAAGGATCATCAAGAAGTCGATAAAACATGAACGGAAAGAAAAAGATAGAATAAAAGTATAAAGATTTTTTATCCAATTAAGAAAGTGATATAAATGCTGCGAACATTAAGAATCTGATAAAACAATTCTCAGAAATGCTTGCTTTTATCATATCTTAAAGAAATTTAAAAAATTGTACTGCCGCGTGGGAAACATAATAACAATCTTTAGAAGGATTTAAATTTTGTTAATAGCTGCATTGTAATCAAAACATTACGGATGTGCTATCTTAGAAATTTCTTATCAGTTAAAAAAAAAAAACATCGCAATGTAGATAGACACCTGTGGGATGGCTGCCTTTGCCGAGAAGGCTTTTCAAATGTATTTCAGATCTTGCTGATGATATGCGTTAGTTAAGACCTTCAGACTCTTTGTTATCGCATAGCCGTGGGCGAAATAAATATCCCATGAATGTCAAGAAGTCATTAGCCGTGCCGAAAACAAGTGGGAGATAAATCACGGAATGTTATTTTTATTGAGAATAAGTTCTCACAGTAATCAATGAAATCTACAAGACTGCATCTTGTTTTGTTTCATACTAATATGGACATATTATTTCCATTCAAGATTTAATTAAATCAGCTGCAAAAGCTTTCATTACCGTTATGGAATATCTGTAACTTAATAAGCAGCAAGTAATTTATATCTACAAATTATCGTATTCTCCCGTGTTTTTGACTAATTTTATCATCCGAAAATCAAGAGGAGAAAATTATGCGCATAATTTAATTTCTGAAGAGCGTGATTACAGTAAGAACACAACAAATGAAAAATACTCATGGATAAACTACAGGTAACTAGAACAACGT